TAAAGTTGAAATCCATGATCTATTGCAGAAATAATTCCACTCACATGCTTAGAGATACTCCTGATTGCCATACAGAGTGCTTGATATTGAGGTCATCAGTGAGAAGTAATGAGAGTGCTGAGATATATCAGAAGAGAAGACAGCTCACATGTTGTTCAGAATTCTCTGCACCTGAAGATGCATTGTATATGTTGACTATCTGTAGCTGTAGACCTCAGATCTATATGTGCAGCATGTGAATGTTCTGATTTTCTGCTCAGAGGCCTGAGACTGCATGAGTATGAATTTGTGAGTGTTTACACACATAGGTGAAGATCTGTGACTTTCTGTCTCACTTTTCAATTGAGGCAAAGCAGTTGAATGCTGAATGCTTTTTAGAGATGTGTTGACTTAAGTTTCTGTAAATTCAGAGTTTCTGTATGAGAAGAATGTCAGTTTTTCTTTCAAATGCTAGATTGAGAATTATCTCATGTGCTGAACTCTCTTTTTCTACATTGACTTGCATAATCTGCAGAAATTGTGGAGATCTAGAGTTCTTCTTCATTAAGTAGCTGAAAGAAGAGTGTTGTTGTGTGAGATGATGTATTGAGTGTTGCATTAGATGTTGAGTTGAGCATCATATCTAATGCTGTATCTGATGCTGTGCTCAATGCTGTGTTTGATGCTGTGTTTGATGTCAGTGTAAGATTAGATCTACACTCAGTAGAATTATTCAATCTCAGATCTGCTGATGAATCTCAATCATCACATTTGCTGTTACTTGTCTTGATCAAGTATATCTTACTCTGTGTATTGCAGATATCTCTCAGCTGATTTCTTGAGTGTCTTTGAACAGTTTCATTCTTTATCTCTGATCTGACAGAGCAGAATGAATCATTCACAGCATGTGATTCAAGACAGTTAGTGCAGCAATTGAGACATTCACATACTTCATTCTTCTTATGACAGAATGAATTTTCTTTCATATGATTCTTAGAACTGCATTTTTTGTAGTGAGGGATGTGAAGATAGTATCTCTCTTGATGAAATTCTCAGCATTTGCTGCATTGTTGTATTTTGATCTTAAGTGTCTTTCTGATCACTGGTCTTTAATATTCATATAGTTCTACTTTTGATGACAGGTTTACTGCTGTCTCTTGTGAAAAGTATAATATAAGAGTAACTATTAAGTTTTCAGAGTGTATTTTTGCTCAGCAACTCTGAACAGACTTGATTCTGATTTGAAATGTAAATTCTTCTATCATGAATTCTGCTGAAAGACACAGAGTTTCATTATTATAGTCACTAATCTTCATGAGCAGCTCAGAAATTAGACAGATGATTCAATGTTCTTTCTTCTTTATCTGAGCATTGATGAGAGTGGCTGCTAAAACATTCTTTTTGACTAGTAGAGTCTTCATGTCTTGCAAGCTTCTAGAAATGATGATAATGTCTGTGAAAATAATTTGAACTGCTGTGATGACTGCTGTCAAAGACTCTAAAAGTTCAGTCTTCAGCTTTTTAAAAGTAGCAATTAGACTTGCTTTGTGAGCTAGATGATTTGAAGATAGATGTGTGAGAATTCATAATGTTTTTTCTTCTCTGAAGTTATTTCTAAGCAGGAGTTTCTGCAGTATGATTGCTGATGTTTTTATTACATTGATGCTGTCTGCAGCTGTCTTTGCATAGATAGAAGCTCTTGCATCATTTGCATCAGTGAAGTCAGTAGACTTGATTGTGATGAACTGCTTAGCTGTTTCTAGACTTTCATTGTATCAGTTCTTAACTAGCATCTTCACTTACAGCCACGAAAACACTTGCTGAGTGGCATGTTGACCTGAGGCATATACACATGAGAGTCATTATAGCTTTGGCAAAGAATTCACTATCTGATATCTGCATCAAAGGCTTCAAGACTAATTTCATTTGCAATACCTGCGTCAAAGCAGGTATGACGTGTAAATACTTGATTACTCTCATGCCACGGGCTGTAAGATCAATGGAATGAATCCATATTGATCTGGCAGGTGATGACTGCACATTGAGTGATACAGACAATCATTCTATAGAATTTTGCCAAGACACAAAATATTTCATGTTAATCACAGATGATGCAACACAATTTAGATGGATCTATTTCCTACATAGCAAAGACCAAGCATTTGATTATTATTCTCATTGAGTTAAGTTCATTAAGAACCTCAGTTTTTCAGCCCCTACCTACATCAGGACAGATGTAAATGAGGTTTTTCAATCACAAAAGATGACAACATTAATAATTGCTGACAGCA